GAGCAGATGGACAATGAGCTCCACGATGAAGCTGGTGGTGGCAGGGGCGGCCAGTGATGCTGCTTGCTTAAGCTATGGGATTGCTTTCTTCAGGTTTTGTTCTCCATTTTGCTGAAAAATATTAGGCGTCTTCTTAATTTAGTTTAGGGCAATCCAAAATGCATTTTCTTCCTTCTCCCCAAACTGCCTCCATGCTGGGGAGTTAGTTATTCACCAAGCCAGAGCTCTGCCCTCAGCACCCACGCTCAGCTCTGCAGTGCATCTCCAGCACTGCCGGCTGCCTCTGGCCCAGGGGCTCCTTCACACTGCCCCATGCCTGCCCCATGGCTGAAATCAGTCAGCCACGAACAACTTGGACAGTTTACATAGAATCATAGAATCGTTTAGGTTGGAAATGACCTTTAAGATCATTGATTCCAACTGTTAACCTAGCACTGCCAAGTCCACCACTAAACCATGTCCCTAAGCGCCACGTCTACATGTCTTTTAAATACCTCCAGGGATGGTGACTCCACCACTTCCCTGGGCAGCCTGTTCCAGTGCTTGACAACCCTTTCGGTGAAGAAATTTTTCCTAATATCCAATCTAAACCTCCTCTGGCGCAACTTGAGGCCATTTCCTTTTGTCGTATTGCTTTTTACTTGGGAGAAGAGACCGGTACCCACCTCGCTACAACCTCCTTTCAGGTAGTTGTAGAGAGCAATAAGGTCTCCCCTCAGCCTCCTTTTCTCCAGGCTAAACAACCCCAGTTCCCTCAGCCGCTCCTCATAAGACTTGTGCTCTAGACCCTTCACCAGCTTCGTTGCCCTTCTTTGGACATGCTCCAGCACCCCAATGTCTTTCTTGTAGTGAGGGGCCCAAAACTGAACACAGTATTCGACATGCAGCCTCACCAGTGCCAAGTACAGAGTACTTGTGTACAGTGCCACAGAGAAACAGCCACACAGTGCTTAGTCCCTCCACAGGATCCTGAGGGTGCGCCTGGCCACAGCGCCAGTGCAGGGGTAGCTTGTGTCTCCCGATCCCTCTGCCCGTGCCAGGCTGCCTGCTCCTGCCTGCACCTCAAGGGGGGCAAGGTGCGTTTCGGAGGCGTGATAGGCATGGGCTGATGGTGTCAGGATGTGACACTCTCTGGGGATTTGCAGCCACGTGTCTGCCTGAAAAAGTTTGGTCTTGTTCTGAATCAGCCTGGCCTGAGCATGCCTTTATGCTGGAGCCCAATGCCCACCTGGCTTCAAGGGACAGTGGCTTCAGCCATCACTGCAGAGCAGGGAAGCAGCAGCCGGTGGGGATACAGCACCCCGTGCTACCCACGGGGAGCCAGGTGCAGGATTGCAAGCTGGGACAGGCGCACTTATGGGAAACAGCGGTTTTGCCCTGCTGCTGCCAAGAAGCCCACGTGCCTGTAGTGATACTCTTACCCCATTCCCAAGGGATCTGCAGTAAAACCAGGTCCCAAAGCAGCCCCACACAGGCAGCATCACAACTCTCCTCGCAGTGACAGTTGGAAACCCATTTCTTTTGGGTTCTCTGCATTGCTGGGCACGAATCAAGTGGTGCGGAGCTATTTGGCTCCAGCACAGGAAAGCACTCAGCTGTATTCTTGACCTACAGCATGTGAAAATCCCCGTTTATATTGATGCAGCTTCTCAGTTCTCAAATGTTGAACATGTGGGCTCGAGGCCAGCAGGCTTCTTGCTTTGCCCAGCAGGGAGATCCCAATGCCCCAGGTGACACAAACATTCGCAGCTGGCCCATGCCGACCGAGGAGAGAGGCTGGGATGCAAAGCATAGAATTACAAGGATGAATATTTATTCACGTGCATGCAGTGTCCCAGCCAAACTGGGGCACCCCAAATGTGGTTTTACACAGGGTTCTTACACCCTTCAAACGTTCAGGTACAACACGATTGGACTAATCACTAACACCCACGCTACCAATTGCTAATCACAGTAAAACTTTGCAAAGCCACTCTATTTCTGCAGCATTCTTGCTGCTTGTCTATTGATCCAGGCATCCCTGGAGTCAGTCTTGCTCGAGTTACTGATCTGTGACGCCACAGACAATGCTGGGAGGGTTTCAAAGATGTGTCAGAGGGGCTGGGATGCTGGCGTTATCATGGTTGTCCTGGGTTATCCTTTATCCTTCATGGACCACTCTAAGCTTCCCAGAAGCAAAGTCCTTCTTTTCAGGGCCGGGCTGTTCTTTAGTTTGTTTTACTTAAGCATGAACAATACCAAAGCCTCCAGTAAAATTCCACTACCTCATTACATCGCAGTGTATCATGTGAACTAATGTATACATTAACAAAGTTAATGCACTTTCATGCTACAAAGGTTGATGTAACAGTGAGGGAAGGGGATCCTGGGGACCCTTTGGGGGTCCGTTTGCGCAGGGGGCAGGAGAAGGGTCTCCGTTCGGGCTGGCACTATCCAAACCCGGAGGGTTTCTCGGGAGGGCAGGTGCCTCCGCAGCCTCTCGCCGGGAGCTCCTCCTCCCGCGGGGGTCTGGCCCCCTCCTGCGGCCGGGCCCGGGGCTGCGCGGGGGGCGGCGGGCGGTTTCCCGCCTCGGTGGGCTCCGGCAGCCCCGGGGGGGTCTCCGGCCGCTTT